TTTGTTGTTTGGCTGCACAATAAAAAAGCGTTGTTGCTCTTGTTGCACCAAACCCCCCACACTTGGGGTAAAACACTGAATTCATAGATTTATTCACTCACTCATACTTTATTCATTTATTTATATGTTGGTTTGCTCCTCGTTGATTCCATTCACTTCTTTAGAAAATCACTCAACCACCGTCATCGTCTACCTCATTCATTGACTCCATTTCTCTCGTCGTTTTATAAATTTTGAACGAAATGCTTTTTAACGTTTATTGTGTGCAACAGCAACAACACAACTATAATAACGCAGCTGTTAATGCGATCTGTACATATTGTATAAGTAATTGAACAGATGAGTTGTAAAAAATAGCAGACACTTGAAGCGATAATGAAATGTGTTCAATTGAAAAAGCACTTCTAGAAAGGTCAATTTAATTTTACGATTTTTTTTTTGTTAGTAGAGTACCCCCCTCTAAGAAGTGGAGTACCCTCTACTGCACTTTAATAAGTACATCATCTAACTCTAACCAGTACAGCATCGAGCTTTTTACAGTAGAGTTCCCAGTAGTGAAAGAACTAGAACAGAATTAGAACAGAATTAGAACAGAACTAGAACAGAACTAGAACAGAACTAGAACAGAACTAGAACAGAACTAGAACAGAACTAGAACAGAGCTAGAACAGAGCTAGAACAGAACTAGAATAGAAACTAGAACAGAACTAGAACAGAATTAGAACAGAATTAAAACAGAATTAGAACAGAACTAGAACAGAACTAGAACAGAACTAGAACAGAACTAGAACAGAACTAGAACAGAACTAGAACAGAACTAGAACAGAACTAGAACAGAACTAAAAATAACTAGAAACAGAACTAGAACAGAAATAGAACAGAACTAGAACAGAACTAGAACAGAACTAGAACAGAACTAGAACAGAACTAGAACAGAACTAGAACAGAACTAGAACAGAACTAGAACAGAACTAGAACAGAACTAGAACAGAACTAGAACAGAACTAGAACAGAACTAGAACAGAACTAGAACAGAACTAGAACAGAACTAGAACAGAACTAGAACACAACTAGAACAGAACTAGAACAGAACTAGAACAGAACTAGAACAGAACTAGAACAGAACTAGAACAGAACTAGAACAGAACTAGAACAGAACTAGAACAGAACTAGAACAGAACTAGAACAGAACTAGAACAGAACTAGAACAGAACTAGAACAGAACTAGAACAGAACTAGAACAGAACTAGAACAGAACTAGAACAGAACTAGAACAGAACTAGAACAGAACTAGAACAGAACTAGAACAGAACTAGAACAGAACTAGAACAGAACTAGAACAGAACTAGAACAGAACTAGAACAGAACTAGAACAGAACTAGAACAGAACTAGAACAGAACTAGAACAGAACTAGAACAGAACTAGAACAGAACTAGAACAGAACTAGAACAGAACTAGAAAAGAACTAGAACAGAACTAGAACAGAACTAGAACAGAACTAGAACAGAACTAGAACAGAACTAGAACAGAACTAGAACAGAACTAGAACAGAACCAGAACAGAACTAGAACAGAACTAGAACAGAACTAGAACAGAACTAGAACAGAACTAGAACAGAACTAGAACAGAACTAGAACAGAACTAGAACAGAACTAGAACAGAACTAGAACAGAACTAGAACAGAACTAGAACAGAACTAGAACAGAACTAGAACAGAACTAGAACAGAACTAGAACAGAACTAGAACAGAACTAGAACAGAACTAGAACAGATCTAGAACAGAACTAGAACAGAACTAGAACAGAACTAGAACAGAACTAGAACAGAACTAGAACAGAACTAGAACAGAACTAGAACAGAACTAGAACAGAACTAGAACAGAACTAGAACAGAACTAGAACAGAATTAGAACAGAACTAGAACAGAACTAGAACAGAACTAGAACAGAACTAGAACAGAACTAGAACAGAACTAGAACAGAACTAGAACAGAACTAGAACAGAACTAGAACAGAACTAGAACAGAACTAGAACAGAACTAGAACAGAACTAGAACAGAACTAGAACAGAACTAGAACAGAACTAGAACAGAACTAGAACAGAACTAGAACAGAACTAGAACAGAACTAGAACAGAACTAGAACAGAACTAGAACAGAACTAGAACAGAACTAGAACAGAACTAGAACAGAACTAGAACAGAACTAGAACAGAACTAGAACAGAACTAGAACAGAACTAGAACAGAACTAGAACAGAACTAGAACAGAACTAGAACAGAACAGAACTAGAACAGAACTAGAACAGAACAGAACTAGAACAGAACTAGAACAGATCTAGAACAGAACTAGAACAGAACTAGAACAGAACTAGAACAGAACTAGAACAGAATTAGAACAGAACTAGAACAGAACTAGAACAGAACTAGAACTAGAACAAAACTAGAACAGAACTAGAACAAAACTAGAACAGAACTAGAACAGAACTAGACAGAACTAGAACAGAACTAGAACTAGAACTAGAACTAGAACAGAACTAGAACAGAACTAGAACAGAACTAGAACAGAACTAGAACAGAACTAGAACAGAACTAGAACAGAACTAGAACAGAACTAGAACAGAACTAGAACAGAACTAGAACAGAACTAGAACAGAACTAGCACAGAACTAGAACAGAACTAGAACAGAACTAGAACAGAACTAGAACAGAACTAGAACAGAACTAGAACAGAACTAGAACAGAACTAGAACAGAACTAGAACAGAGAACAGAACTAGAACAGAACTAGAACAGAACTAGAACAGAACTAGAATAGAACTAGAACAGAACTAGAACAGAACTAGAACAGAACTAGAACAGAACTAGAACAGAACTAGAACAGAACTAGAACAGAACTAGAACAGAACTAGAACAGAACTAGAACAGAACTAGAACAGAACTAGAACAGAACTAGAACAGAACTAGAACAGAACTAGAACAGAACTAGAACAGAACTAGAACAGAACTAGAACAGAACTAGAACAGAACTAGAACAGAACTAGAACAGAACTAGAACAGAACTAGAACAGAACTAGAACAGAACTAGAACAGAACTAGAACAGAACTAGAACAGAACTAGAACAGAACTAGAACAGAACTAGAACAGAACTAGAACAGAACTAGAACAGAACTAGAACAGAACTAGAACAGAACTAGAACAGAACTAGAACAGAACTAGAACAGAACTAGAACAGAATTAAACAGAACTAGAACAGAACTAGAACAGAACTAGAACAGAACTAGAACAGAACTAGAACAGAACTAGAACAGAACTAGAACAGAACTAGAACAGAACTAGAACAGAACTAGAACAGAACTAGAACGAAAGAACTGAACTAGAACAGAACTAGAACAGAACAGAACTAGAACAGAACAGAACTAGAACAGAACTAGAACAGAACAGAACAGAACAGAACTAGAACAGAACTAGAACAGAACTAGAACAGAACTAGAACTAGAACAGAACTAGAACTGAACTAGAACAGAACTAGAACAGAATTAGAACAGAACTAGAACAGAACTAGAACAGAACTAGAACAGAACTAGAACAGAACTAGAACAAAACTAGAACAGAACTAGAACAAACTAGAACAGAACTAGAACAAAACTAGAACAGAACTAGAACAAAACTAGAACAGAACTAGAACAGAACTAGAACAGAACTAGAACAGAACTAGAACAGAACTAGAACAGAACTAGAACAGAACTAGAACAGCTAGAACAGAACTAGAACAGAACTAGAACAGAACTAGAACAGAACTAGAACAGAGCTAGAACAGAACTAGAACAGAGCTAGAACAGAACTAGAACAGAATTAGAACAGAACTAGACAGAACTAGAACAGAACTAGAACAGAACTAGAACAGAACTAGAACAGAACTAGAACAGAACTAGAACAGAACTAGAACAGAACTAGAACAGAACTAGAACAGAACTAGAACAGAACTAGAACAGAACTAGAACAGAACTAGAACAGAACTAGAACAACAGAACAGAACAGAACAAACTAGAACAGAACTAGAACAGAACTAGAACAGAACTAGAACAAACTAGAACAGAACTAGACATTGTACCATAACTGTTCATGTGAACTGCCATCTCGTACATCATTATACATTCAATTATTTATTACAGTTAATTACATTTTAATACAGCTTTACGTGCTTCTTTTTTTTTATAACTCGTTCTTTACCATGTCGACAATGAATGTACTCGTACTATGTAGTCGGTACTTGGTGTTAGTGAAAAAAATATATCCAATAAAAAAGTTGTAAAGCCACTTTATGCTATTTTAATTAAATATTTTAATTTGCATCGTTATATACAATTGACAAAAGCAATTGACAATTTCATTTAAACTTTAAAGGGTTTATTCTTTTAACCCCTTTTCTCCGGGCATAATAATTATATTCGTTCGTTTAAAACGATCTTCAGATTATTAAAGGTTTTGGTTTATTTACTTATTCATGGTTTATTATATGTTTTAAATAGAAAGATTTTATTGACTTGTTAATCTTTTAGTTTTAAATCTGAATTTTAAGTTTTCTTAAAAAAATTTATACTTTTACATCATAATTAAGGAATTTATTGTTTTTCTCTGTTGTTTTAAGCAAACATTATTGTAACTTTTGACGCTCTATTTAATAGCTTCTAACAAATAAATATTTAAATATAAATTATCTTATCAAAGGGTTAATTGTCTGTAAATCTTTTCTTTTGTTTTTGTTTATATCTCATTACTCATTAAATAACTATTTTATTATTATTGTTATTATAATTACATTATATTTTCTGCTTTACATAATATCATTATGATTTTATTCTCTTAACCTTCTTTTCCTTTGTCTTTATTTCATTATTTTATTTTATTAATAAGTTTTTTCCTGCCGTTTGTTGCCAGCCTTGTTCCGGTTATAATACTTACTTAATTTCTTTCGTTTTTTTTTTTGTTTCTCATTTTCAGCACCAAAAGATAAATTCAGTTTTAATGTACGCTTAAATTTGATTTCCTCTCAACCATTTGTGCAATGTGGACAATTCTTGGATCTTTGCTACTCGACACGTTCGCTAACCGTTAAAGTTGATCCAACAGGGCTTCTGCCAGGCGTTCATACAGCTGTGTAAGTATATACAGTTCTTATTGTTAAGAAAAATTAAGGAAAAGGAAATAACATTACTAAAGATGATAAAGTCCTTGCTGGATATCTCTTAATTAATTATAAAACTTAAATATGAATTAAAACAACAATTTTAAGAGTTAAAATCATATAATAAAGTAGTATTGAAAATAAAACACGTACACAGTGAGGATAAAGAAAAAAAAACATAAAACGTAAGAAAGAATAACCAACCGTATAGTTTTAATGGTTTTAATTTCATTCTTAACTTAACAAAAGAAATGAGCAAAAATTGAAATTACAACATGCGAAGCAAACATTTAAGAATAATGACATTTTTTTCACACGCATTAAGAAAATGATTTACAGTTTAAAAAATCTTAAAGTCAAAATTCATGATCATAAGAATAAATATATTTTAAACTTCACCATTAACTAGAACTGAATTAAAACTGAACTAGAACTGAACTAGAACTGAACTAGAACTAGAACTGAACTAGAACTGAACTAGAACTGAACTAGAACTGAACTAGAATTGAACTAGAACTGAGCTAGAACTGAACTAGAACTGAACTAGAACTGAACTAGAACTGAACTAGAACTGAACTAGAACTGAACTAGAACTGAACTAGAACTGAACTAGAACTGAACTAGAACTGAACTAAAACTGAACTAGAACTGAACTAGAACTGAACTAGAACTGAACTAGAACTGAACTAGAACTGAACTAGAACTGAACTAGAACTGAACTAGAACTGAACTAGAACTGAACTAGAACTGAACTAGAACTGAACTAGAACTGAACTAGAACTGAACTAGAACTGAACTAGAACTGAACTAGAACTGAACTAGAACTGAACTAGAACTGAACTAGAACTGAACTAGAACTGAACTAGAACTGAACTAGAATTGAACTAGAACTGAACTAGAACTGAACTAGAACTGAACTAGAACTGAACTAGAACTGAACTAGAACTGACTAGAACTGAACTAGAACTGAACTAGAACTGAACTAGAACTGAACTAGAACTGAACTAGAACTGAACTAGAACTGAACTAGAACTGAACTAGAACTGAACTAGAACTGAACTAGAACTGAACTAGAACTGAACTAGAACTGAACTAGAACTGAACTAGAACTGAACTAGAACTGAACTAGAACTGAACTAGAACTGAACTAGAACTGAACTAGAACTGAACTAGAACTGAACTAGAACTGAACTAGAACTGAACTAGAACTGAACTAGAACTGAACTAGAACTGAACTAGAACTGAACTAGAACTGAACTAGAACTGAACTAGAACTGAACTAGAACTGAACTAGAACTGAACTAGAATTGAACTAGAACTGAACTAGAACTGAACTAGAACTGAACTAGAACTGAACTAGAACTGAACTAGAACTGAACTAGAACTGAACTAGAACTGAACTAGAACTGTACTAGAACTGAACTAGAACTGAACTAGAACTGAACTAGAACTGAACTAGAACTGAACTAGAACTGAACTAGAACTGAACTAGAACTGAACTAGAACTGAACTAGAGACTGAACTAGAACTGAACTAGAACTGAACTAGAACTGAACTAGACTGAACTAGAACTGAACTAGAACTGAACTAGAACTGAACTAGAACTGAACTAGACTGAACTAACTGAACTAGAACTGAAACTAGAACGACTAGAACTGAAACTAGAACTGAAACTAGAACTGAACTAGAACTGAACTAGAACTGAAACTAGAACTGAACTAGAACTGAACTAGAACTGAACTAGAACTGAACTAGAACTGAACTCGAACTGAACTAGAACTGAACTAGAACTGAAACTAGACACTGAACTAGAACTGAACTAGAACTGAACTAAACTGAACTAGAACTGAACTAGAACTGAACTAGAACTGAACTAGAACTGAACTAGACTGAACTAGAACTGAACTAGAACTGAACTAGAACTGAACTAGAACTGAACTAGAACTGAACTAGAACTGAACTAGAGAACTAGAACTGAACTAGAACTACTAGAACTGAACTAGAACTGAACTAGAACTGAACTAGAACTGAACTAGAACTGAACTAGAACTGAATAGACTGAACTAGAACTGAACTAGAACTGAACTAGAACTGAACTAGACTGAACTAGAACTGAACTAGAACTGAACTAGAACTGAACTAGAACTGAACTAGAACTGAACTAGAACTGAACTAGAACTGAACTAGAACTGAACTAGAACTGAACTAGAACTGAACTAGAACTGAACTAGAACTGAACTAGAACTGAACTAGAACTGAACTAGAACTGAACTAGAACTGAACTAGAACTGAACTAGAACTGAACTAGAACTGAACTAGAACTGAACTAGAACTGAACTAGAACTGAACTAGAACTGAACTAGAACTGAACTAGAACTGAACTAGAACTGAACTAGAACTGAACTAGAACTGAACTAGAACTGAACTAGACTGAACTAGAACTGAACTAGAACTGAACTAGAACTGAACTAGAACTGAACTAGAACCGAACTAGAATTGAACTAGAACTGAACTAGAACCTAAACTGGAACTGACTTAATACTGATTTAGAACTGAACTTTTTTCACTTAAATAACAGTATTGTAACTCAAAAGAACAATAATAAAGATTCTTAAATTTGAAACAAATATAAGAATGAAAAGAATCTTAATCTTATAAGACTCTTAACTGCAAAATAACTTTAATTTTCTTTGTTTTGACTTTATTCTATCTGTTCGCTAATGGAATGAATAAAAATTTTAATGAAAATGTAAAATAAAAACTTAATTCTCGTTTACAAAGTTAAAGTTAATTTGGAAATGACGATATTTGGATATTATTTATTTATATAGAAAAATATATTTCCATTAATTACATTAGATTTCTCATTTATTTTCTTTAACTCCATTTATATTTCTGACATTTTCATTTATTATATTAATAATTTCATTTATTTATTCTTGCAGTATACGTGCATTCGATACATCATGTGTTCAAAAGGGTTCATTATTCGAAATTCCTGTAACAGTTGTCCAACCATCTACCGTTGATTGCCAAGAAACGCGTCTCTATCAACCTGTGTCACAAAAGGTGATGGCAGCATAGAATTCCAGCCAAATACAATACAAAGAGACTTTATTCTAGTGCCACCACAAGCAACATGGGCAGGTAAATAATAACCAATGAAAAAAAAAACCAAAAAAATTGAAATAGAGCAAAACTGAGAAAAAAATCTTCAATATAAAAACCAGCAAATCAATGCAATCGACTTTTGATCGCATGTAGTTATTTGTGGTCATGGTAGTGATGGTCGTAAAGGTGATAAATTGTCAATTTGTCAAAAATAAAAAGAAAGAACGAACGAAAAAATGAATAGATAGTATAAAACACAAATCCTTTGCAGAATGCTGATAATAAAACAACAAATACACTTTTACTTACTTACCTTGTCATGGTGTTTGTTAGTGGTTTCCTTTCTAGGAATTGACAACGAATTTTGCTCTTCACAAATTCAGCAAATTTTTTGTGTTCAGTTTGTTTGTACTATTAACAAGGATGTAATCAAGTAATCCCAATGGGAAATTTTTACAAAAGGAACTTTAAATTGATTATACGTTTATTGCCTTTGATGATCGGATATTGTCAAAAAATCTTTTATTTCTTAAAATATTCTATAAAATTTCAAAACTTTTCTATTCAATTCCAAAAAGGTATTGATTTTAGCTCTAAAATTGAACTCTTGACTTCTACCATTGAACAATTTCGATTTGCCAACAATACAACTAAAAGTTCTATTATTCCAATTTCTTGTCTTCTATTCTTATTTCTTATCAAAGGTTTCGTGTTCTTTTTAACATTCATCACTTGTGTTTTCTTTTTTTGCTATTCAAAAACCCCTTTGTTATTTGAAAATTTCACCCAACAATCGATTTCCATAAATTTAGCAAATATAGACAAATGGGTCTATTATTGCAACGGGTTAACATTATTCAAGTAACAAAGAGATGAAGGTTATTATGTGAAAATCAAGTCAATTTATCATTTCTATATATATAATATAACTTATATTTTTTCTTCGTGTGTGTCTCTTATACAATTTTTTTTTTTCAAGTTTGAAAGTGCATTGAAGTTGATGATGATACTTTAGATAAATTTAACAAACCACTACAGAGATACCACTACTACCACCATTATTACTACCACTATTACAAATAAACGTAATATTGCCATTACTGCTGAATAAATATGTACAAAATGAGAATTTTAGGAACAGTATCTTCTCCATGAAATATGACTAAATATCAAGGGTTTCAAAAAGTTAAATTTCCCCCAAAAAATAGTTAGTTCAGTTCTAGTTCAGTTCTAGTTCAGTTCTAGTTCAGTTCTAGTTCAGTTCTAGTTCAGTTCTAGTTCAGTTCTATTTCAGTTCTATTTCAGTTCTAGTTCAGTTCTAGTTCAGTTCTAGTTCAGTTCTAGTTCAGTTCTAGTTCAGTTCTAGTTCAGTTCTAGTTCAGTTCTAGTTCAGTTTCTAGTTCAGTTCTAGTTCAGTTCTAGTTCAGTTCTAGTTCAGTTCTAGTTCAGTTCTAGTTCAGTTCTAGTTCTAGTTCAGTTCTAGTTCAGTTCTAGTTCAGTTCTAGTTCAGTTCTAGTTCAGTTCTATTCAGTTCTAGTCAGTTCTAGTTCAGTTCTAGTTCAGTTCTAGTTCAGTTCTAGTTCAGTTCTAGTTCAGTTCTAGTTCAGTTCTAGTTCAGTTCTAGTTCTAGTTCATGTTCTAGTTCTAGTTCAGTTCTAGTCAGTTCTAGTTCAGTTCTAGTTTCAGTTCTAGTTCAGTTCTAGTTCAGTTCTAGTTCAGTTCTAGTTCAGTTCTAGTTCAGTTCTAGTTCAGTTCTAGTTCAGTTCTAGTTCGTTCTAGTTCAGTTCTAGTTCAGTTCTAGTTCAGTTCTAGTTCAGTTCTAGTTCAGTTCTAGTTCAGTTCTAGTTCAGTTCTAGTTCAGTTCCTAGTTCAGTTCTAGTTCAGTTCTAGTTCAGTTCTAGTTCAGTTCTAGTTCAGTCTAGTTCAGTTCTAGTTCAGTTCTAGTTCAGTTCTAGTTCAGTTCTAGTTCAGTTCTAGTTCAGTTCTAGTTCAGTTCTAGTTCAGTTCCTAGTTCAGTTCTAGTTCAGTTCTAGTTCAGTTCTAGTTCAGTTCTAGTTCAGTTCTAGTTCAGTTCTAGTTCAGTTCTAGTTCAGTTCTAGTTCAGTTCTAGTTCAGTTCTAGTTCAGTTCTAGTTCAGTTCTAGTTCAGTTCTAGTTCAGTTCTAGTTCAGTTCTAGTTCAGTTCTAGTTCATTCTAGTTCAGTTCTAGTTCAGTTCTAGTTCAGTTCTAGTTCAGTTCTAGTTCAGTTCTAGTTCAGTTCTAGTTCAGTTCTAGTTCAGTTCTAGTTCAGTTCTAGTTCAGTTCTAGTTCAGTTCTAGTTCAGTTCTAGTTCAGTTCTAGTTCAGTTCTAGTTCAGTTCTAGTTCAGTTCCAATTCAGTTCTTGTTCATTACAAATTCCAAAACTTCTCATTTTCTCACGGTCATAATTCATGAAAGATACTGCAACATATTCATAGTACTACCTTCTGGTTATTATGTGTTCTTTGTGGTTCTTTTGCTCTATATTTATTCAAACACTTCTCCATATTGTATATCTGAGTCAATTTATTTTTTCAAGTTTTTGTAATTTTTCATTTAGTTTTTTAATAAAAATAAAAAACCTAAATAATTTTTTATGTTCTATTTCTTTTTCATGATACTCCTGACGTTCGTTCTGTGACAACCTCTTGTCTTGCTGCTGTATGTAACGTTGCGGTATTTCAATGCGTATGTGTGTGTGTCGGCATCTGTATCTTTGTGTACCTTCGTCGTCGTCGTCGTTGGTACCACTTCAATTTAACTCTTAAGTCTTACGTATGCGCTCAACCGATAAAAATCGTGACAAGGATGTTGGTAAATTTTTTGTACACACCGTACAATTGTTGCCCAAGTCATCGTGTCGTGTTTTGGAAACTATGAAGATTTTGTCTGTCAATTCAGAAAACGAAACCACATTGGCATTCAAGTGTCAGGTAAGTGCTTTAGAAGGTGTACAATACATTGGTAGTGTATGCACTTGTACTTGTATGTTGTTTATGTGTGTTACTATTACAAAATAACCAACTCTAATACACACACACACATAAATTCGCATTGAATGTATGTTCACATGTGAACATACATTGACAAATATTCAAAAAACGTTAGAAAGTAGCACATGACAGCAAATACTTGTACATTCACACTTAAACACATATGCACAATACACTTGTATTTGTTGGTATATCGGTGTAGTATTAAATGTCCTCTCGAAAGCAATAGAAACTCTGTTCAGATTTGTTTGACTTTTTAGATTGCCCTCGTACGTACCTAATTCTTTTTACATTCATATAGAAATAAAGGACTTACAGGCACAAACTTCAACACTCTTTCAGCTTCACAGCACCACCATCGTTGTAAATTCATCAAGTATTCTCTATGTTAAAAAATTTAGATGACAAATTTCTTTCGTAAATTGAAAAAATAAACATGAAGTAAAAAAAAAAAACATCAACAGAAGCAAGAATTTCTAACAATTTAAAGTATGTAAACGAAAAAAAGTTTACATTTGTAATTGCGACTTTTCAACTTTTCAAATGTCAATCCTAATACAAGTTATTACATTCTGTGCCACATTTCTAAACTAAACAAATTTGTTATATGTTGTAAACTTTTCCTCGTTCACCTACTTTATATTCAGTTTTTCGTTGACAGATTCTACTTGAGTTTTTTTGAAAAAGTTAACAGACTATTTCTTATTAAAAAAAAAAACACATAAATAACATTTTAAATTAGGTTACCAATTACCCATCACTGTCAGCGTCATCATCAGCAGTTACTAAATCTAATTAATGACTTTGTATTTACTCTTATAAATATTTAATATATAACAGTGATATTTATGTTCTCTTAACTTTATTCAATTAGCTAAATGTTATATATGAAAAGTCTAAACTATAGACTATAACGTATACAATATTTCACACTATAGTCAATATATAGTATGATCTACGTTGCAGTCTTTAATTGTAGTCCATTTCTGTAGTTAAAGTTTGGACTACAATTAAAGAGTTTGCACTTAAATTTAACTATAGTTCAGACTATAGATTAACTGTAGTTAACTTAGTTGTTAGACTGTTATGGTTAGACTGTAGTCTAACCATAGTCCCGACTATAGTCTAAATATAGTCCAGACTATAGTCCAGAATATAATATTACAAGAGTCAAGACTATAGTCTAACTATAGTCCAGACTATAGCCTAACTATAGTCCAGACTATAGTCTAATTATAGTCCAGACTACAGTCTAACTATGGTCCAGACTATAGTCTAACTATATTCCAGACTATAGTCTAACAATAGTCCAGACTATAGTCTAACAATAGTCCAGACTATAGTCTAACAATAGTCCAGACTATAGTCTAACAATAGTCCAGACTATAGTCTAACAATAGTCCAGACTATAGTCTTACTATAGTCTAATTATAGTCCAGACTACAGTCTAACTATGGTCCAGACTATAGTGTAACCAGACTATAGTCTAAGTATATTCCATACTATAGTCTATCTATAGTATAGACTATAGTCTAACTATAGTCCAGACTATATTCTAACTATAGTCTAACTATAGTCCAGACTATAGTCTAACTATAGTCCAGACTATAGTCTAATTATAGTCCGGACTACAGTCTAACTATGGTCCAGACTATAGTCTAACTATATTCCAGACTATAATCTGACAATAGTCCAGACTATAGTCTAACAATAGTCCAGACTATAGTCTAACAATAGTCCAGACTATAGTCTAACAATAGCCCAGACTATAGTCTATCTATTGTCAAGACTTTAGTCTAGACTATCGTCCAGACTTTAATCAAAATAGTTTAACTATAGTCCAGAGTATAACTAACTATAGTCCAGACTCTAACTCAGACTACAGTCTAAATATAATCCAAACTATAGTCTAACTATAGCCCAAAGTGCAGTTTAACTATAGTCGAAACTATAGTGTAAATATAGTCCAAACTATGGTCTACATTTAGTCTAGACTATTGTCCAGACTTTAGTCTAGATTATATTCCAGACATTAGTCCAGACTACAGTCTAACTATAGTCCAGACTATAGTCTAACTATAGTCCAGACTATAGTCTAACTATAGTCCAGACTATAGTCTAACTATAGTCCCGACTATAGTCTAACTATAGTCCCGACTATAGTCCAGACTATAGTCTAACTATAGTCCAGATTATAGTCTAACTATAGTCCAGATTATAGTCTAACTATAGTCCAGACTATAGTCTAACTATATTCCAGACTATAGTCTAGCTATAGTTCAGACTATCCAGACTTTAGTCCTAACTTATATTTAGTGCTTTCCATAGCTTTCATCTTATGTCCTTTAATCATCAACTTAAAATGCATTTTTCTAAATAAAATTTCTGTAAAAGGATTTTCAAATCCTTTTGTAATAATGCACAGGAACTCGTTAATAGTGAAAAGCGTTTTTTGCTTGTCAAAAAAAAAAACAGCTTTTCACAATCAACTTTTATTCTATTAGATGAATGTGTACATTTGTTATCCTTATGTATGCGGTTGTACTAAGGCGCTTTATAGTGAATTTATTTCTTCTGTAAATACATTTTATATTGTTTTCGATTCGTTTATTTTCCTTTATATCTTTTCTAAATCAGACAATAATGCAAGTTTCCGTTTACAGTTCAATAGCATGACTGTTGTTTGGGTTGGGGGAACAATTATATTTCCGTTAGATTTTGGGATGTCAATTGCTTTGTAAATACTTCCAAATAGTTATATTGTATCCTAAAGCATTCTTAACTGAATGAGAATTCGAATTAATAATTGAAATAGTCGGATCGTTTAAATTCTATATCAATAATAAAACATATTATGCTGTTTTAAAGTTCAAGTTCATTAGATTGAGGTCAAAGTTTATTCGTTTTTCATATATCATCCTGATAAATTTGTATATCAAAAACTATAAATTTACTTGATAATTAAATAAAATTTTACACCTGACCTCCTATTAACAAATAGTTTTAAATTGGTCGAATTTTTCTCTTTTCTACTTACCCAGTATAAGTACTTTTATACGCTCACATATCTTTCTATATTCTACAATAATCCCATTTATAATAAAAACTACTTGTAATATCAATTTGTACTCCCTGTTAAAGTATATAGAAAAAGAATTCTCAAAAGTAAAGTAATGTTTTCATATGAAAAGTTCAAGCACATATTGCCATCATTATCATCATCATCAGTTTCATCCTCTTCTACACTGCATCTTTATCAACAACAACAACATCATCGGATGCACTTTATAAACAATGTTGTGCCAAGTTAAACATTAAACAATATTTTCTTTCCCCAAAATATATATTTCGACTATGTTTTTTTTTTTTGTCTATCCACCATGAAAAAGATGGGAAGCATGTTCAGTTTGGATTGTCGTTTGTAACACAGAGAAATATCAATAGTAGTCTAAATTGCAGTTAAAATTATAGTCTCAATTACAGTCCAGACTAATGTCTCATATATAGTCCAGACTATAGTCTCATCTATAATCTAAACTATAGTCCAGACTATAGTCTCATCTATAGTCCAGACTATAGTCTCATCTATAGTCCAGACTAAAGTCTCATCTATAGTCCAGACTATGTCTAAACTACAGTCCAGACTATAGTCTCATCTATAGTCCAGACTATAATCTCATCTATAGTCCAGACTATAGTCTCATCTATAGTCCAGACTATAGTCTCATCTATAGTCCAGACTATAGTCTCATCTATAGTCCAGACTATAGTCTCATCTATAGTCCAGACTATAGTCTCATCTATAGTCCAGACTATAGTCTCATCTATAGCCCAGACTATAGTCTCATCTATAGTCCAGACTATAGTCTCATCTATAGTCCAGACTATAGTCTCATCTATAGTCCAGACTATAGTCTCATCTATAGTCCAGACTATAGTCTCATCTATAGTCCAGACTATAGTCTCATCTATAGTCCAGACTATAGTCTCATATATAGTCCAGACTATAATCTCATCTATAGTCCAGACTATAGTCTCATATATAGTCCAGACTATAGTCTCATCTATAGTCCAGACTATAGTCTCATCTATAGTCCAGACTATAGTCTCATCTATAGTCCAGACTATAGTCTCATCTATAGTCCAGACTATAGTCTCATCTATAGTCCAGACTATAGTCTCATCTATAGTCCAGACTATAGTCTCATCTATAGTCCAGACTATAGTCTCATCTATAGTCCAGACTATAGTCTCATCTATAGTCCAGACTATAGTCTCATCTATAGTCCAGACTATAGTCTCATCTATAGTCCAGACTATAGTCTCATCTATAGTCCAGACTATAGTCTCATCTATAGTCCAGACTATAGTCTCATCTATAGTCCAGACTATAGTCTCATCTATAGTCCAGACTATAGTCTCATCTATAGTCCAGACTATAGTCCTCTAAGTCCAGACTATAGTCTCATCTATAGTCCAGACTATAGTCTCATCTATAGTCCAGACTATAGTCTCATCTATAGTCCAGACTATAGTCTCATCTATAGTCCAGACTATAGTCTCATCTATAGTCCAGACTATAGTCTCATCTATAGTCCAGACTATAGTCTCATCTATAGTCCAGACTTATGTCCAGACTATAGTCTCATCTATAGTCCAGACTATAGTCTCATCTATAGTCCAGATCTATAGTCTCATCTATAGTCCAGACTATAGTCTCATCTATAGTCCAGACTATAGTCTCATCTATAGTCCAGACTATAGTCTCATCTATAGTCCAGACTATAGTCTCATCTATAGTCCAGACTATAGTCTCATCTATAGTCCAGACTATAGTCTCATCTATAGTCCAGACTATAGTCTCATCTATAGTCCAGACTATAGTCTCATCTATAGTCCAGACTATAGTCTCATCTATAGTCCAGACTATAGTCTCATCTATAGTCCAGACTATAGTCTCATCTATAGTCCAGACTATAGTCTCATCTATAGTCCAGACTATAGTCTCATCTAGTCCAGACTATAGTCTCATCTAGTCAGACTATAGTCTCATCTATAGTCCAGACTATAGTCTCATCTATAGTCCAGACTATAGTCTCATCTATAGTCCAGACTATAGTCTCATCTATAGTCCAGACTATAGTCTCATCTATAGTCCAGACTATAGTCTCATCTATAGTCCAGACTATAGTCTCATCTATAGTCCAGACTATAGTCTCATCTATAGTCCAGACTATAGCTCATCTATAGTCCAGACTATAGTCTCCTATAGTCCAGACTATAGTCTCATCTATAGTCCAGACTATAGTCTCATCTATAGTCCAGACTATAGTCTCATCTATAGTCCAGACTATAGTCTCATCTATAGTCCAGACTATAGTCTCATCTATAGTCCAGACTATAGTCTCATCTATAGTCCAGACTTAGTCTCATCTATAGTCCAGATAGAGTCCAGACTATAGTCTCATCTATAGTCCAGACTATAGTCTCATCTATAGTCCAGACTATAGTCTCATCTATAGTCCAGACTATAGTCTCATCTATAGTCCAGACTATAGTCTCATCTATAGTCCAGACTATAGTCTCATCTATAGTCCAGACTATAGTCTCATCTATAGTCCAGACTATAGTCTCATCTATAGTCCAGACTATAGTCTCATCTATAGTCCAGACTATAGTCTCATCTATAGTCCAGACTATAGTCTCATCTATAGTCCAGACTATAGTCTCATCTATAGTCCAGACTATAGTCTCATCTATAGTCCAGACTATAGTCTCATCTATAGTCCAGACTATAGTCTCATCTATAGTCCAGACTATAGTCTCATCTATAGTCCAGACTATAGTCTCATCTATAGTCCAGACTATAGTCTCATCTATAGTCCAGACTATAGTCTCATCTATAGTCCAGACTATAGTCTCATCTATAGTCCAGACTATAGTCCTCATCTATAGTCCAGACTATAGTCTCATCTATAGTCCAGACTATAGTCTCATCTATAGTCCAGACTATAGTCTCATCTATAGTCCAGACTATAGTCTCATCTATAGTCCAGACTATAGTCTCATCTATAGTCCAGACTATAGTCTCATCTATAGTCCAGACTATAGTCTCATCTATAGTCCAGACTATAGTCTCATCTATAGTCCAGACTATAGTCTCATCTATAGTCCAGACTATAGTCTCATCTATAGTCCAGACTATAGTCTCATCTATAGTCCAGACTGTAGTCTCATCTATAGTCCAGACTGTAGTCTCATCTATAGTCCAGACTGTAGTCTCATCTATAGTCCAGACTGTAGTCTCATCTATAGTCCAGACTGTAGTCTCATCTATAGTCCAGACTATAGTCTCATCTAAGGTTCAGACTATAGTCTCATCTAAGGTTCAGACTATAGTCTCATCTATAAACTGAACTACAGTCCAGACTATAGCCTCATCTATAGTCCAGACTATAGTCCCAACTACAGTCCAGACTATCGACCAATTTGAGACCTATAAAATGTTGAAATTTTAAAAATTCAATGGTGGGTATTTAAGTTTCGTTTAAGCTGAATACAACATCCTTATTTGTTGCAACACTTTTCCCCCTTTAAATTATATTCTCTCTTACGTACGATTTGTATCCTGGCGAAGTTTCTTTCCTTGTTTACATTTATCTAGAAAAACATTTATATTGCTGAACAATTCTACCAGTACGTTTAGTTTAGTTTTTCTTTTTCACATATATTTTTTATTTCTATTATCAATATTATTTTTCTTTTTTTACTCTTTATAGTTTTATTATTAAAGTTAGTACTTACTTTCTTTATTTTATTTTTTAAAGTTTGGGAATACGTTCGTTGTCTTATATGTATTGCCCAATAAACAATGAAAATTTGTTTTTAATTTGAATATGACTTGAAATTAAGACATTTATCGAGTGCTAAACGTTTAGATTTAATCTTATATTAATGAAAAACTACTAATAAATGCAAATATCTGTTGAGGTTTCCAAACCATTTGAAAATTACTTGTGATATTACATTTTTAATATTGTTTGTTTATTGGGTTCTTCCAAAATTGTATGTGTGGTTATAAGTATGGGTTTGCTTGTGTATAGATTTGTTTAAAAGTAAGTAGTTGTTATTATTTTTAAATTGTAATGACCATACATCCATTATGTGACAAGTATACCCAAAACAAATAAAAAAATTTTGCAGCAGTAAAATAAACACAATAGTTCTTAAACTAAACTTGAAAACTAAAATTTTATTTTTTTTCGTACTCATGTAGAAGTTGTTGAAAACCAAAAGACCGAAACTTTTTGTTAATAATATGTTAAGCTAAAAAAAGATTCGGTAAAGAATAATGAAATAATTTATATTGCTGAACAAGATTTTTAATTTTGAACACAGATTTTAAATGCACTTTATATAATTGCCTTTTCTAGTTCAGTCCTAGTTCAGTTCTGGTTCAGTTCTAGTTCAGTTCTAGTTCAGATCTAGTTCAGTTCTATTTCAGTTCTAGTTCATTTCTAGTTCAGTTCTAGTTCAGTTCTAGTTTAGTTCTAGTTCAGTTCTAGTTCAGTTCTAGTTCTAGTTCAGTTCTAGTTCAGTTCTAGTTCAGTTCTAGTTCAGTTCTAGTTCTAGTTCTAGTTCAGTTCTAGTTCAGTTCTAGTTCAGTTCTAGTTCTAGTTCAGTTCTAGTTCAGTTCTAGTTCAGTTCTAGTTCAGTTCTAGGTTCTAGTCAGTTCTAGTTCAGTTAGTTCCAGTTCTAGTTCAGTCTAGTTCAGTCTAGTTCAGTTCTAGTTCAGTTCATGTTCAGTTCTAGTTCAGTTCTAGTTCAGTTCTAGTTCAGTTCTAGTTCAGTTCTAGTTCAGTTCTAGTTCAGTTCTAGTTCAGTTCTAGTTCAGTTCTAGTTCAGTTCTAGTTCAGTTCTAGTCAGTTATAGTGTCAGTTCTAGTTCAGTCTAGTCAGTTCTAGTTCAGTCTAGTTCAGTTCTAGTTCAGTTCTAGTTCGTTCTAGTTCTAGTTCAGTTAGTTCTAGTTCAGTTCTAGTTCAGTTCTAGTTCAGTTTCTAGTTCAGTTCTAGTTCAGTTCTAGTTCAGTTCTAGTCAGTTCTAGTTCAGTTCTAGTTCAGTTCTAGTTCAGTTCTAGTTCAGTATAGTTCAGTTCTAGTTCAGTTCTAGTTCGTTCTAGGTTCTAGTTCAGTTCTAGTTCAGTTCTAGTTCAGTTCTAGTTCAGTTCTAGTTAGTTCAGTTCTCTAGTTCAGTTCTTAGTTCAGTTCTAGTCAGTTCTAGTTCAGTCATCTAGTTCAGGTTCTAGTTCAGTTCTAGTAGTTCTAGTTCAGTTCTAGTTCAGTTCTAGTTCTTCTAGTTCAGTTCTAGTTCAGTTCTAGTTCAGTTCTAGTTCAGTTCTAGTTCAGTTCTAGTTCAGTTCTTAGTTCAGTTCTAGTTTCCAGTTCTAGTTCAGTTCTAGTTCAGTTCTAGTTCAGTTCTAGTTCAGTTCTAGTTCAGTTCTAGTTCAGTTCTAGTTCAGTTCTAGTTCAGTTCTAGTTCAGTCTAGTTCAGTTCTAGTTCAGTTTCTAGTTCAGTTCTAGTTCAGTTCTAGTTCAGTTCTAGTTCAGTCCTATTTCAGTTCAGTCAGTTCTAGTTCAGTTCTAGTTCAGTTCTAGTTATTTCTAGTTCAGTTCTAGTTCAGTTCTAGTTCAGTGCTAGTTCAGTTCTAGTTCAGTTCTAGTTCAGTTCTAGTTCAGTTCTAGTTCAGTTCTAGTTAGTTCTAGTTCAGTTCTAGTTCAGTTCTAGTTCAGTTCTAGTTCAGTTCTAGTTCAGTTCTAGTTCAGTTCTAGTTCAGTTCTAGTTCAGTTCTAGTTCAGTTCTAGTTCAGTTCTAGTTCAGTTCTAGTTCAGTTCTAGTTCAGTTCTAGTTCAGTTCTAGTTCAGTCTAGTTCAGTTCTAGTTCAGTTCCAGTTCAGTTCTAGTTCAGTTCTAGTTCAGTTCTAGTTCAGTTCTAGTTCAGTTCTAGTTCAGTTCTAGTTCAGTTCTAGTTTAGTTCTAGTTCTAGTTCAGTTCTAGTTCAGTTCTAGTTCAGTTCTAGTTCAGTTCTAGTTCAGTTCTAGTTCAGTTCTAGTTCAATTCTAGTTCAGTTCTAGTTCAGTTCTAGTTCAGTTCTAGTTCAGTTCTAGATTATTTACTAATTCAGTTCTAGTGTAGTTCTAGTTTATTTCTAATTCAGTTCTAGTTCAGTTCTGGTTTAGTTCTAATTAATTTCTAGTTCAGCTCTAATTATATACACTCAATATATTATGTAGGTAAATTCAACTGAAAGGTCATTTCAAACAAGTAAAATATCATTTAAAAAACGGACTACAAACTTTTCATTTATTTCAAATGAGTTTTTCAGTTATTTTTAAATGTTGATTTTTTAACTAACAAATTATGTAAATACAAAAGTTTTTTCAGATGTTTTTACTGACAAATTTTTACCTACAAAAACAGTAAAATTTACTGATTTTTTCAGTTGTTTTGAATGACAATTTTTACCTACAATATCACTAAAAGTTACTGTTTTTTTCATTTATTTTTACCCAAAACCCTAACAATCCAACAGATTCTTTAGATTTTAGTTTTATTGTGATCATTTGTTAAAGATTAAATATGTATAATACGGATTAATAATTGTTAAACCGCTACGTATGCTAATAGAAATTTCGTTAATAGTCTCCTTTCGCTTCGGTTGTGGTACTGGCATCATTTATATTGGATTCAAACACGTATCATGGCTTGCTGTTTTCGATATGACTGAAACGTAATCCCAAAAATGCTATAACTCTTCAATGTTGTGATGTACATCGATGATTTGCCTTTATCGGAGGTAGAACAGCTCTCACTTCTCTCGATATAGCTGCGAATTCCAAAATATGTAACAAATTGTAAAATATGTTAAAATTAAAGTTATAAGGGATAAAACAAAAAAGAATTCTTACCTTAACTTATATACAAAATCTTGTCCATTATTATTATTATACCGCATCTACAACTATTGATAAAAACAGATCTTTTTAAAACATTTTTTTAAATTGTCAACAAAAACTTACAGTTTCTATAATCGCGGTATTTACTTTTAAAACAATCCATTATGAAACATCTCAATATGGTTCTTGAAGAAATTAATATTTTTATTAAACAAATATAATTTTTTTCTATTTTTATGACAATTTGATTTTATGTATTTGAAACAAAAATTTAACTGATAATAATAACTGTACGGAAAAAACATTTTTTTGTGTAGTTTAATTTTTTAACAACACCCCAAAATGTTAAAAATTTAATTTATTCGAAAAATAAAAGATTTTTCATTAATTTTTAACTTTACAGAAAACTTTTTGAATAAACTACAAACAGTAAATGTTAAAATTATTTGAGTGTAGAAAAGTTGTCACCATTTCCGAGTATTTTTCTATGGAAAAGTTGTCTGCATTCCTGATAACCTTTCAGTTTTAGCTAAGTTGAACTGAGGTTTATATGGAAAAACTTTCCCTTAAATTTAATTAATTACATGTTAACATATTAAACTGTACTTCAAAAAGTTTTTCTGAGTATTTACAAAGTTAAAATTAATATTGAGCTTTCGAGTTTTTATTCCTTCTATTGTTGTAAAAAACCGTATATAATCATTTAAAAATTTTACCGAATTGTTTTAATCCTTAGTCCTTGCTGTACATATGCACATACATATAACCAGCAATACATATGTATTGTTTGGTATTTGTGGTACATGCTTACACTTATACTCCATTCATATTTCATTCCTTTTATGAGGATATTTTATTATCCATTTTCATTGTATTGTATTTTTTCTTTTAAACATATTCTTTTTAATTTTCCATTTTTTTGGATTTGCAGGAGAATAACATACTTGAGTTGTGCATTGCAAAATACTGGTCAAACTTTGGTAGCAGCCACATCAAATACAGTTTGGAATTTCATGGCATTCAGGCAACAAACCCAAATGCATGTAAGTTGTATCATTCCTATATCCACTTCTATTTCTATTTGTATTTGTTGTTCTAAGTTTTAGTTATAAGTGAAGAACACAATAACCACTACAAGCTATAAAACTACAACCACCATTAGTGTTCATATGAAAACCCAAAAATAAATATTTAATTTTTTGTTGAACGTATCGTTAGGGAATTTATACTTGCAACACAACTGCAAAATGTTGCAAGAAAACTGCGACTTAACTAAATAATTTTTTGTTCATCCAAAATATTTTCGTTGCTATTGCGTGTAAAATATTTTTTTATCCGTTTTTATTGTGTAGCTAAAAGCATAAAAAGTTGTTAAAGTTTGACTACTTATATAGTTTTTTTGCTCCTGGTCCTCTCTGTAGTTATTGTTATGTTTAATGCTATTTCATTTATGGCCAAACTACATTTACCACACTATTTAGAGTGCAATCCTCTTTTTGGTAATAGTGATGATGATAATATTGTTGGTGTCGTAATAGTTGTTGCTTACTTTTGGTATTCAGTGTGTTGTTGCAAGTACAAGTACATATTTATTATTTGTATTGCAGTTGTTGCTGGTTAAGAGGAAGATCTTAAGCATTTCTCTAGTGTCTGTGGTCTATTTGTATTCTCATTCTGTGTACAAGTTAACAATTTCTACTCTTAATGATAACACAGTGGTATCTAACGAGGAAGGCAAAAGATCTACATGCAGTAGACTAAATGTTCCAAAATTTCAAAAACAAATAATAGAAAATTAACAGACAAAATCAGATGTCATTAATACTGGTCACAATACGATAACAAATTTCAATAAATTTTCTGTTAATAGAGAACACTTTCAATGAATTTCTGTTTCAAAGAAAAATTTAATTTTCTATAATTTTATACTAGAAACTTTTCGAGAAATATTATTACAACTAAACTAGAACTGAACTAGAACTGAACTAGAACTGAACTAGAACTGAACTAGAACTGAACTAGAACTGAACTAGAACTGAACTAGAACTGAACTAGAACTGAACTAGAACTGAACTAGAACTGAACTAGAACTGAACTAGAACTGAACTAGAACTGAACTAGAACTGAACTAGAACTGAACTAATGAACTAGAACTGAACTAGAACTGAACTAGAACTGAACTAGAACTGAACTAGAACTGAACTAGAACTGAACTAGAACTGAACTAGAACTGAACTAGAACTGAACTAGAACTGAACTAGAACTGAACTAGAACTGAACTAGAACTGAACTAGAACTGAACTAGAACTGAACTAGAACTGAACTAGAACTGAACTAGAACTGAACTAGAACTGAACTAGAACTGAACTAGAACTGAACTAGAACTGAACTAGAACTGAACTAGAACTGAACTAGAACTGAACTAGAACTGAACTAGAACTGAACTAGAACTGAACTAGAACTGAACTAGAACTGAACTAGAACTAGAACTGAACTAGAACTGAACTAGAACTGAACTAGAACTGAACTAGAACTGAACTAGAACTGAACTAGAACTGAACTAGAACTGAACTAGAACTGAACTAGAACTGAACTAGAACTGAACTAGAACTGAACTAGAACTGAACTAGAACTGAACTACTGAACTAGAACTGAACTAGAACTGAACTAGAACTGAACTAGAACTGAACTAGAACTGAACTAGAACTGAACTAGAACTGAACTAGAACTGAACTAGAACTGAACTAGAACTGAACTAGAACTGAACTAGAACTGAACTAGAACTGAACTAGAACTGAACTAGAACTGAACTAGAACTGAACTAGAACTGAACTAGAACTGAACTAGAACTGAACTAGAACTGAACTAGAACTGAACTAGAACTGAACTAGAACTGAACTAGAACTGAACTAGAACTGAACTAGAACTGAACTAGAACTGAACTAGAACTGAACTAGAACTGAACTAGAACTGAACTAGAACTGAACTAGAACTGAACTAGAACTAGAACTGAACTAGAACTGAACTAGAACTAGAACTGAACCAGAACTGAACTAGAACTGAACTAGAACTGAACTTGAAAACAATCTTTCCGCCAATTCCAATATTTCATTGTAAGTTCTTTAAGTCCCAGTGTTTCTGTTAGCTTCCTGCACCCTTCGCACCACTCTTTACACTTTCACATGCATTCATTTTCTCATTACTATCAACTAACTACAAGTATTATCTGCCTATTTTGCCTTAACTCTGGACTTTTCATTTTTGTTTTCTTTTTACATTCATTATTTTTTAAAACTTCTTGTAGCCCTTTTTATTACATCTTTCATTCATTCTGTGTTGAAGTTCTTGTTGAAATGCAAAGTGTTTAAAAATCGTAAAAAAATATGTAAAAATTACTTGTTCGTTTGTTTTTTTTTTTGGTGGTGAGAGTCCTGATTGAGTAGGGTTATTAATAAAGGGGGAAATACTAGGAAAGATTTCAAGATTTTTTTATTACAAATTTCGAAATATTTAAAGAAAATCTTTGAGAAATTTTTGTTTTTAAATAAAATTTTCTATTTAAGAAAGTGAAGAACCTGGTCTTTACTGACTGACCATCTAAATATTTGCTCCTGAGTGTGCGTGTTTGTTTGTTTGTGTGTGTGTTCATCTGTCTAAGGCACTTTTCTTCCTTAAAAGTTGGCCTCTGTGTTATATTCCTTGTATTTGCCTTCATCTTACTTAAAAGTTCAAAATGCCGTTACACTCATGGTGTCATCATTGTTGTCCAATGCACTCATCGCTTCAGAAATCTTTGCAAGTTGTAGTTTTTCGTTTCGTTTTACTTTTTTGTTGAACTTTAAGTTGCTGGTTTGCTGTTGTTCCTGCACTTGAGAGGATTTCTTTTGCTGCTTCTGCTGCAGTTGTTGTTGTTCATCTACTTTTCTGTTGTTAGATAAGTGGCGACCACTTATAAATTTAATTTTTAGGTTTATTTGGGTTTTCATTGAAAAATATTAAAACTGGTCTGTGGTCGTAGTTTTTCTTTTTTTTTCAATGCTGGCAATTTCCATTTCGTCTTCATACAACAACTCCCTTTGGTTCGCTTCTCTTAATTTGTTGCAGGGATATGGAAAACATGAAGCCAGTAGTCCAGTAGAATGAAAGAATGATTGAAGATGAAAAAACGAACAAGTTGTTTGAAAAGTTTTTCTTTTAACAAATACAATTCCGTTGGGCTGCTGTGTATGTATTTTATGTCCCTAACACAACTTTGCAGTTTGTTTGCTCGGCCATTTCTCTCATCTGCATCTGCATTTGCATGTAGTACCTCCATTACCAGGCTTATGTTCAGTGCCCCATGCTTAAGGAATGTATGTAAATAGTTTGTTTGGTTTCATTGTTGTCATACCAGAATTTCCATTGCATTGCACATAATCCTTTGGAATTAATCTTGTTGAAATTTAATGAAGTTTAAAGCTTCTACGGCATAAAATATCAAGTGTTGGACTCTGTAATAAAGCTTCTTATAACCTTCTTTTCTCTCTCTCTCTCTGACTATTTCGTTTCCCTCCCTTTTTTTGGGAATTTCAATTGTGCTGTGGTGCTTCTGTTGACTGCCTTCAAGGAAATTATTAAGTTAATTATCAAGTTTCAATGGAATAGATTAAGATGTGTCAATGAATATGTGAAAAGGCAGAATAGAATCATCCAGAAACCAGAGAAAGAGCAAGCAGTAGATTTTAATTTTCTCAAATATATTTATTTTCATTAGAAATCAAATTAAGCAGAAGTTAAAGTTTTCTCTGCAACTAAGATGTAATAAAAAGTTTAAAAAAATCTGAATTATAGTTTTTATATTACGCTACAAGTAAGAAGGATTCATAATATATTCGTTGTTGTTTTTGTCGGATATGAATTTTTTGATAATTTTTTTAAAATCTTTCATAAATGTTCCTTTTTTAAGAAAATCTTTGTCTATAGGCTAGACTATAGTCTTGTCTATAGGCTAGACTATAGTCTTGTCTATAGGCTGGACTATAGTCTTGTCTATAGGCTGGACTATGGTCTTGTCTATAGGCTGGACTATAGTCTTGTCTATAGACTGGACTATAGTCTTGTCTATAGGCTGGACTATAGTCTTGTCTATAGGCTGGACTATAGACTTGTCTATAGGCTGGACTATAGTCTTGTCTATAGGCTGGACTATAGTCTTGTCTATAGGCTGGACTATAGTCTTGTCTATAGGCTGGACTATAGTCTTGTCTATAGGCTAGATTATAGTCTTATCTATAGGCTAGACTATAGTCTTGTCTATAGGCTAGACTATAGTCTTGTCTATAGGCTAGACTATAGTCTTGTCTATAGGCTAGACTATAGTCTTGTCTATAGGCTAGACTATAGTCTTGTCTATAGGCTAGACTATAGTCTTGTTTATAGGCTAGACTATAGTCTTGTTTATAGGCTAGACTATAGTCTTGTCTATAGGCTAGACTATAGTCTTGTCTATAGGCTAGATTATAGTCTTGTCTATAGGCTAGACTATAGTCTTGTCTATAGGCTAGACTATAGTCTTATCTATAGACTATAGTCTTGTCTATAGGCTAGACTATAGTCTTGTCTATAGGCTAGACTATAGTCTTGTCTATAGGCTAGACTATAGTCTTGTCTATAGGCTAGACTATAGTCTTGTCTATAGGCTAGACTATAGTCTTGTCTATAGGCTAGACTATAGTCTTGTCTATAGGCTAGACTATAGTCTTGTCTATAGGCTAGACTAGGCTTAGACTATAGTCTTGTCTATAGGCTAGAGGCCTATAGACAAGACTATAGTCTAGCCTATAGACAAGACTATAGTCTTGTCTATAGGCTAGACTATAGTCTTATATATAGGCTAGACTATAGTCTTATATATAGGCTAGACTATAGTCTTGTCTATAGGCTAAACTATAGTCTTGTCTATAAGCTAGACTATAGTCGCGTCTATAGGCTAGACTATAGTTTTGTCTATAAGCTAGACTAAAGTCTTGACTATAGGCTATACTAAAGTCTTAACTACAAGCTA